ATTCCATCTATATGCTCGAGCAATTGGAAAGACGAACTGCCGCCACTACGATACGCTACGAAAAGGGCTTTTCAGCAGAATGATCATTGTAACTTTATGATTGTGGAAATGGGACTGCTTTGTGATAATTGGCATAACTACTCAGTCACTCGGACAGAGGCGGCGTATCGCTTTGAGAACAAATGTCCAACTGATACCCATCCAAGCTAGTGAAGCCTTTCTTCCGTCCCAAACTGGCCAAGCTTAAAGACAGTTACTCTTACTCAGTGTTCCTAATGTGGTAGAATCCAGTTCCGAATGGAGGAACACTAAGAATCCACACAGAGGTAGAGGGCAAGGTACAAGGAAGGGCCCTGCACGGTGGACATTTTTTTGACAAAGTCAGTGGTTGATAGGTCATCACTTCCCCTTCCATCCCCCTTCATCGAGGGCGATGTAGTGGCTGCTTGAGTACTATCATGGTCAGTAATCGGAGAACACAAGCAGGGAACAAGCCAACCGAGCCTTCGATCGGTCAGAGGCGATTGTTCGGTACCAGAGTTCTGGGAGGGTAGAGGCACTGATTTGTGTATTAGCTGGATACCACATTTCATTGTTTAGACCAAATACCTATCAAAACCCACTGTGATTCTGAACGTAGGTCGAATGTGGGGCGCATCGTTGGAGCCTCGAGCAGCCATTGTATCAAAGCGGTTTTTTGGACTGTTCGCTATGATTGTTAGCTAAGCAATCATAAGGCATCATGCTTCTGAACGGAGGTCATTTGCATGGCGCAGACTTTACCAACATCTGGTGAACATCCGCTACTCTATTACCCCATCCAAAATCGCGTTCTTGTCCAAAGAGAATTCTCATTTGTCATTTGAAAAAAAAAGGAAATTTTTAGCAGAACATCTTCAAACGTATCCATCCTTACGACGACTTTCTTTTCGAATTTCTTTACTATCTATTGTTCTGTAGCTATACCACATCACAATGAATCATTTCAGAAAAAAAAGCCACGGCGAATTAAATGTGGAACAGCAATGGTTTTCGAATGTGAGAAAAACTTCATAAATCAAAGTGGAACCAATAAACTAGAAATCTCCAGTTTATTGATGTTCTCCGAAATATTCTGACACAATTAATAACTTCTATCGAGTTACTGACATTATATGCGCAAAAGAAAACCATTGAAAGAAAAAGGAAGAAATGGAAGAGAAATGTGTGTTAAGCTAGTTATGCCATGCTTTGGCACGCTGCTCAGAGTCGATACAGCATTTGAATGGGATCATGGCTTATACAATGAAAAACGGTGCTTATACAATGAAAAGTTCCAAGGCAGTGAGATTACTACCCAGAGAGCTTTGCGTGGGGAAATATTATAGAAGGCGTGGATGGCTCAAATGGGGATCGATCTATCTTGTGGGTGATGAGTGCTCTTTATTTGAATACCATGACTGCTTTATAGGAAATATCGTAGGATGAATTGATGACCGGCATCTACTTTTCGGCAGGTTTCGCTTTCCAGATGAGAAACTTCGAAAAAGTAACCTTCCTTTTACTTAGTTACAAGTCAAGGAATATCGAGGTCTGATCGTAAATTCGTCTCTATAATTAATAACAAAAACTAGTTTAAGCTGAAGTGAATGAAGCCTGTGTAGGTCCTCAGCGCTCGAAGGGTTGATTCGGACTGCGCCGTGCATTTTGTTCCTGCTTGCACTCGAGAGGAAGTGCTTTGAATCGAATTAAAATAAAATGGAGGATGGAGTTTCTGGCGCTGATCGATTCTTTTTTTGGGATGCGCCCGCTCATTTGATTGCCATTTAGAATTGTAGTGGTAGCTGGGCTGCTATTTTGCCTCTACATTGTATAGCAATGCCCATGTACAAGTCAGTGCTTTTATCCTCCCAGACTAGATCGGTACCAATGAATGGACCCTGAAGAAATGAAAGCTCCAGTCGGCTTGCGCAGACATTGGACCGGGATCAAATCCCTGGGCAATGACTGTGAGGTAGTGCGTGACTTGCCATTACACTATTACCTTCGGCCTTGCATACAAAGGGCACAGAACCAGTGCGATTACTAGTAAGTCCTCTAGATTTGACAGGACATCCTATCCACGCAGGCTCTCCTAGTCCTATGTGGGTAGGATGTCATGTAGAATTGCTTGTTGTTCGGTTCAAAAGTGGAGAAAGGTGAAATTCAGATTAGTTCCGATCAGCAGTCGATGGGGTTGAAGTGGGTGAGAGTGGAATTGATGAAATTTACTGATAATTGGCGATAATCAAAGACATAAAGACAAATTCGAAGCGGAACTATTGACGACTTACGTTCTTGAACTCCAGTTGGTGAGACGAATATACCGGATCCAATGATACAACCGACAATAATCGATACTCCATTGAACAACGTTAACGATTTGGCCAAACCCTTGTCCGTCTCGCCTTCTTCACCGCCATCGACCTATAAATGTTGTGTGTGATAAGTCTAATCGTTTCTCCACTTTTAATAGCACAACCCTATCTTAACCCTGTTCGATGAGTTGTTCCACTACCGCCGCTACCGGTCACGCAACCTTACTCTGTGATTCGTAGAAAAACCCACAACGAGAACTGGCAGTAATCCTGTGCCGTTCGCCATCGTCATATAAAGGCCCCTTTCAAGAACATTCGGTCTGGTACGACCTCTATCATGGAAAACACTAAGATACAGGTAAGATACCACTGTAATAGTTAGGTCAACAGGCTATCAGGCCTATTTCATGCCTTACCAGCCCACTGACAAATCTCTTTTCTCATGAGCATTTTTACAGTATTTTTGTCAGAAATTGATTTTTCAGATTCATTTCTTACCGCAGTTACTGTAACTTATTGATTTGATAATTCCGATTGATTTCATTTCAAATAGCTTGATCTCATGAAGGTCTCAAAAAGAAACCCACGACAACCACCCTATCCCTACGGTAATCCGGCTGTGGGCCCTAGCCCGAACGCTCAGTTTTGGGCAGCACACTCGGGTCACAATCTTAAGCACACGCTTTTTGGTTATGCTTGCTCGAACTTTTTTGGAGGCATCGCATATGTGGGATGTATTAACTGAAATAAGTCGAAATTGAAATCAACGACTTGGATTGAGACATTTTTCAGATCCAATTGTTACAGCAGTTACTGTGACTGCGTTGATTGAATTGTTCCCATTCATTTCATTTTCCGTCAAAAACAAGTGTCAATTTGGGAATGATTCAATCCCATCCGAGCCACAAAAACAGTAACCCATGGCAAGCGTTGTCCAGGATGTCCTGCGTCTCATGCATTTTATTTTACGTAAGGTTTTTGTAGGAGTACTAGTTATCGTTCCGAATTTTCCTGCCTGTATAAGGTCTCGTCAATTCCAATCGGAGGATCAACAGCTTTATACTTTGCTCCCACGATAGTTCTTTACTATCAAGTAATGTTATGGCCACGTTAGTAATGTTCAGCATAGGGAACCATGTAGGGTTTGTGAGCTTTCCGAGTCTAGGCGGTACACTTCAACCATCGCAACTGATACCACAACTCTTTTCCTTCCGAAACAATGAGAATGGAGAAGGGGGAGGGGGGGTGTAGAGGGGTTAGGCATGTAGTTGCTTCACTGACTGCTCTAATCCTTGTTTTATACTTTATCGTCACCGCACTTGTCCAGAATGAAATCTTCGCGCTGCTAACAGGCTCGAAGGTAGACTTCTCGTGAATTCTTCTCCTTGCCCACCAGAGTTTACCAGTATGATTGTAGGTTTTTTACTATCTGAGTTTATCGACAGCAAAACTTGCTTCATCGGCTTTCTAAGAAACTGTACCCCTGAAGACTTGCTACCTATCGGCAAAGTGAAAAAGTGAAATGAGTCTGAACGGCTTTGTAGATCCACTTTCACGTTCCTTTATGATTACGGAAAACTCGTCCCGACGGGAAAGTATAGCGCTGCTTAAACTATATGAGGGCTATTACATAAAATCTAATAGCTTCGGAAGGGCGTTCATTACCGAAATTCGCCAGATTGCCTTGCTCAATAACCAATTTACTTAAGTCAAAAATTTTAGGAATGTTGTAGGCACTTCAGGTGAGTGTCCACGGTTCCGATCGAGTGCATCTATCCCTAGATAGTAGATTTCGTTAACTGAATACCAGTCATTCTTGGTTTTTGCTTGTTCACGCTCTGAACGGAAGTGGGCTGCACACTTCGTAATAAAGTTCCGACAGCTCACCCATATCTTTTCCCATAAGTTTTTCAAACTTTCCGTACTCAGCCATCTTTTATCGATTGGTTAAGGTGTATCGAATCGTCGGTTACGCGGCCATAGCCGTCTCATGCGTTGCCGTTCTATCCGTCTCAGCGACATTACCGATTCTCTACCTCTACGTGAACAATGTCAAAACGACGATGAAGCAGGAAATGGCCGCATGCCGTATGACAGCCAATACGGTCTATGCCGATGCGGCAGCATTGCATGCTATTCCAGCCAATCGAACAGCTCGTGAAGCGACCTACGAAACCACCGGAGGATGCGGTGGTTGTTGCTTACCCGGAGCGCCTGGTATGGAAGGTCGACCTGGACGGCCGGGTGCTCCAGGAAATCCAGGGCTGCCTGGTAGACCAGGAACTCCAGGACGACCCCCACAAGCGCCATGCGAACCAATAACTCCTCCCCCATGCCCACCATGTCCTCCAGGTCTTCCAGGCCCACCCGGGCCACAAGGCATACCGGGAAACCCAGGCCCTATAGGAGATCCAGGAACTCCTGGACCAGTTGGCGAAGCTGGGCCTCCAGGTGATAAAGGTCCACCCGGACTGCCTGGACTGATGGGAAGACCTGGAAGTAACGGGGATCCCGGTGAAGATGCTATGAATGGAACACCGATTCCTGGGCCTCAGGGACCACCCGGCCCGCCCGGGCCACCAGGTTTCCAAGGTCCTCCAGGCAAAAACGGACAGGTAGGTTTGAATTAGTTGAGTTAGCTAAAGTTTGGTGTAAATTTTTTTCTTAAAGGATGGTGCGCCTGGACTTGATGGAGTGAAAGGACCCCTTGGACCGCCAGGTGAACCGGGACCAGCTGGACAACCAGGATTGCCGGGAAAGCCTGGTGCGCCTGGTAAGAATGGCGAACCAGGCATCTGCCCGAAGTACTGCTCGCTGGATGGTGGTGTTTTCTTTGAAGAATCATGACGATTTTGTTGATAAACTTCTATTAAATGTAATGTACTAATTCAGTATGAGCATTTGGCTTTGAATGACGTGAAACTGAAACTTCTGCTTGCGACTAAAAGAATGCTGCAGTCTTGATCTTAAACCCTGGGTTCAACTAAACTATGGTCTTATTCTCCTTCACCATTTGTCCCTCATGAAGGCGGGGTCTGCTCTTCTGTGCGTTGACTCCACCATTCCCGATTGAGCGCTTGTTCGGGATGAATGTGGCCTGATTTAAAGCATTCATGCAGAGAATCAGGGAAGCGCTGCTACAAACATTCCTTGGGATGTTTTTTGCATACTGAGGCAGGTCCCCGATGAGATACTGCGATTGTCAGACTAGAATGTAATCTAGTGGAATTACGGTATCTGAAAATAAGACAGATGAACCCAATCTAAATAGCTGATGGATCTAATCTAAATAGCTTTCCTTGACCCCTAACCTAAGCCGCCCACAATCATTCCACCCTTGCCCCGAGACCTTCGAACAAGTGATGCCTTTTTGAGATTAGGAGGAGCATCCCTCTGGAAGCTCAATAAGAAGGAAACAAAAAATTCTTCGCTGCAAGGGATCATTGGGAAACCGGCATTCCACTTACAATTCGACTACAGCCCTAATACTGGAAATATTTGCAATAAACATTACAAATAACAACAAGAGTTTGGATTTTTCAAACCACATTATTGATTTCAGAGCTTGAGGATGTAAGTATAAAATAGTTCAAAGGATGCAAAGGAGACTGAAAATCTTACATCATCAGATGGCAAACTACTGGTTCTGCCCATATCTAATATTACAAAATAGTGCGACAATGAGGAACGCAATAGCTCCTCTCATCTTCATGCGACTTTAAGATACATATCGATTAATATGTAAACATGACCCCTTTCGTTTGGATGCGATTGGATAGTGTTGCGCGATTGGATAGTGTTGCGATTCCCCTTCATGACGTGCACCATGAGTCAGTACGATTTACTGGGGAAACCCCACCTACCACGTCGGGCCCGCCCACAACCACAGATGCACTCAGGGCGTGTATTATGGGCATAACATCGGACAGGCAGAAAACATCGCATCATGGATTCGATAAGGTGAGCGAAAAAGGACGATTAGAGCGATCTACCTATGTACTTCGAGCACGATTGCCAAAATGTGTCTCTTCTTTACCCCAATATACTCTTTTGAGATGTGGAATGATTAAAGTTCTGACTAAAAAGACCTCACAAGCGGAGTGTAGGTGCGATTTTTAGCTTGATAGCCTTGCTGACGGGAGATATTCCTAAGAAGGGTAAAATACTGTAACAAAAAAATGGTAACTTACAAGTTTCTCTGCTTCGGGAGTTAGCGGCGGTCGTTCTTTTTCTTTTTCGGATGACATGGCTTATCACTGAAACACCGTATCATCACACTCTATGAAATGAACTATAGTAAAAAGGAAAGTTTATAATCACGAAAAAGAAACTGCACCGAAATTTTACGATCAACTACTTCGCAATTCTGTAATGGAATCGATTTTCCATTTAAAGCTGATAAAGTTCAAGCACATCGAGTACTCATTGAGAGACGTAAAGAGCACTATAACAGTTCGTGGAAGCGTCACTGACAAGCCAAGAACCCATGGATCGAGCACTATGAATCAAGCGAAGATTCCGTAGCCAGCCATTTACCCAGAAACCATCTAGGAGTAAGGGGAGAAGGGGAGAGGGACTGTATAATCTTCTCTAATCCATGAAGTCAATGAAAGCATTAGGAATGCATTCAGTTGTGGCCACGTTTTTGAATAGAGGTCGAGTATGTGGCGCAACTCGAAAGTCTTAAGTTAATCGCTTTGCAGACACTTACTGAGCGACCACTGCAGATCCCTGGATTAGCACGGAGAGAAATAAGTAATGAGGCTCTGTTAATAATCCGATGAGAGGGCAGTAAGCAACTCAGAAATGATAGGAAAATGTGTAAGGAACTCAACAGCAACATAGAAGAGGGTGGAGAACGGAAAATAGATGTTCTTCTCAGCAGAATACTTCAAAAATGGCCCTTGCTTCTAAGAAAAGAAAGAGTTTACAGAATACCATATGCCACCCCCAGTAACTCCGTTCAATCAACTTTTTTCAATGTGGTCCCTAGAAGTCCGATTTATCTGCTGTTCTAGTTCTTATGCGGATAACAACGACTACATCCATAACTTCACCAGTCCATGAATTTTATAACCCACGTCGTTGTTTAGATCAAGTGATGTTCACCACGAATTAGTAGGGAAAACACATGCATGGCGCATCCCAAAAAAAGTTTGATGAATGTCGAGCATTTCATTCCTCATTCAAGTCGATTTCAACTTGAAACTGACCCCACCCAATCCTTGGGCTCGCTCTATTTGCCAAATAAACATCATAACAGGGATTGGCATTAAGAGTTCCTCTAGTTGCTAGGTCCGTTAACAGCTTTACAACTCCACTTTGGATATTACCTAGGGATGTACAGGGAGAGGTTGAATGGAGGCATTTTCTTGGCGTAGTGCCCCAACTGTGGTCCAGGTATCAAACCCTCCATGAGCATTTTGTAACCGTATATTAGTATACGATTCTGAATAGAAGTCGAATGTATGGGAGCATCCCAAACGGGATTGATTAACCCCAAAAATTCCAGGCTGTCGGTAAAGTTCTTGCTTCCCGAATGTGATAACAACTAGAAAGCTCTGAAAAACGCATTAATACGAAAGAAAAGGTAATCATTCCGACAATTTTCCAGTTCAACTGTACTATTTGTTCAGATGGGATATCGGAAGGATTGGTCGGGCTCGATGAAGCTGTGTAAAGCTGCCCATTCCGTGAGCATCTGCAGTCCGAAATGGACGTCCCGAGTGCAATTCGATATAACTCGAATGAAAAAAGGAACTTTACAATACTGGGGTATGCGGTAGCAGTGGAAATGGCAACTCGCTGTGTATTGGAGCAAAGTATGGTACAGCTTGAGGTTGTAAAGAAAAATACAGCTCTCACTTTATAGCGGAAAAGATAAAGAAGCAAAACTGTTGGCGTTGACCAACACTTTAATGGTGGATGCGCCCCGCATTGAGATGCACATAAGATCGTAACGACGCTTTGAATGTGTGTGAGGCCTATGCAACAACTTGCAGTGGCCAGCCGACACGAGTATGACACCAACTATCCTCGGAGGAAAGGAAGGCTCGGTTGACTGGCAATGAGTCAGTACCGATCTAGGATTCGATTCCTGGACCATGAGGGTGTGATTGTGCGCCATCGATCACTATACCACCTCCATCGATCACTATACCACCTCCACCCTTTCGGAGCAGTAGAAAAGTTCCCTTAAAAGCAGGATTTCCCGTGAAAGATGAAATCCTTCAAATCAATAGGATTGCTGTAAGACTCTAACTGACATGATCAATTTTGCTAGAGAGTACCATATGGTACATACGAATATCACTAAAAAGGAAATGGTCCATGCCAAACAAATGAAAATTTTGCTCGAATAAGGGGAGCCTTCACAGAAATTAAGCCTTTTCCATTAGGCCCATTACCTTCGCTTTAAATTACCCGGAAACGCTCGGACTAAGTTATGCCAAATTCTAGCCGAGCAAAAAGAAAACGTCAGGCCATCGGACAGCAATTAGTTCGAGGAGTATCAACAAAATGAGCCGGCTAATGAGAGTTTCTCAGCCGGCTCATTCAAAGCGGGCTACAGAGTTTTCTGTCAGTTAACTGAACAATGATTCAATGGGTTTCATAGTCTTGAAGTCCTGGAAGCTTCTAGAACTTGCCAATGGATATTTCTAATACATGTGGTTTACAACTTTACGATTCCTTAGCCATAGGTATTTTCCAGGTTGGCATGAGGTTAGGCTAGTAAAAGCAGAGTTTACTGACTTATCTGTTAAAGAGCCTTTGTTTGTTTGTTTGTTTACAAAAGAGTTGCCTTCCAAGAGCTTTGTGATGAGTGCCAGAAAGGAGAACGAGAAAGAGGGCTCAGAACGAAACGACATAACGCGAGAATAGGCTTCACAAAAAAATTGACACAAAAAACATGGATATCGATCGCATGGTTTTTGTCAGCCAGCCATAAACAGCATTGCCGATGATAAGGAAGACAGTTCAGAATGTATTTTTTTGGTAATCTATTGTAAAATAAATCGATCGGTCCCCCATGTTGGGTCTTGGTTAGTTCTTTCTGGTGGGTGCAGCTCACCAAGGGGAGCCAAGATAGTGCTCAAACGAGACAGGTAAAAAAGCCATTTTTTCCGGTTAATACTGACCAATCAGCTGTATTACATATGAAATAAAGGAACCAAAGATTTTTCCTGAGTTTGAAGTGGCTACCTCTTCTAATCCAGATTTTCAAATAGTAAATCATTCAGAATGTATTTTTTTGGTAATCTATTGTAAAATAAATCGATCGTTCCCCTATGTTGGGTCTCGGTTAGTTCTTTCTGGTGGGTACAGCTCACCAATGGGAGCCAAGATAGTGCTCACACGAGTCAGGTAAAACAGCCATTTTTTCCGAAATACTGACCAATCAGCTGTATTACATATGAAATAAAGGAACCAAGGATTTTTCCTGAGTTTGAAGTGGCTACCTCTTCTAATCCAGATTTTCAAATAGTAAATCATATGATTGACCTTTTCCCAGTATATGTCTATAGAAGGGTTTGACGACTAGTGATTTCCTCAGAAGATTCAGTAGTACAGATGGTTTGAAGGGTTTGAACACCGACCGAGGAAAGTAGATAAATTTCAAAAGATCGTTTCTAAAACCTTTCCCTTCTACTTCAAGAACGTTGAATAGACTAAAAAGGAGAGTAGGTTTTAGTAAATTTACGGTGAGGAACTATTCTGCAAATCATGGGAAACCACTACCTCCCTCCGCCCACTGCTCTATGTGAGCTCGAATAAAGGAAGTGTTAAAAGTGTAGGAGTTAGGTACTAAGACATTAGTACATAATAGATTAACGATATCGAAACGA